AAGAAGCACTCCGGCTTCAATGTGCCTGTCTGATAAAGGAGGACTAGAGGAGAAATCAGAAACGACAGACAAAAAGAGAGCAGGACGTGGGGTGCTGGAGTTCCACAGGCCTCCTTGACTGGGACCTCCTTTCTACTTCCAAACCAGACAGACGGCGACACGAGCGAGCACACAGAACCTACCGCATACCAGCTTAAACCCAAGCCCCTCAGAGGGTCCCCCAACCCACCCAGAAGCCCGGAAAAGAGCTCACTTAATGCCATCCAGCCAGGTGACAAACTCATAGGCGCTGCTGGTGGGAGCGTGACACTGGACATAGGACTCGGGAGCGCAGTCCACCGTGTTGAACACCACGAGGCTGTACTGAGTTCCCCCATACTGGGAGGGGAGGACAGAGGAACTTTTCATCTGGGACCCCAGCTCCCTTCTCCCTCAGAGGAGTCGGAGCTCCCAGCTCCCTCTTCCCTCCGACCCAGGAGTCCAGACCCCAGCCCCTCCTCCCTCAGGCCCAGGGGACCAGACCCCAGCCCCTCCTCCCTAGGACTCAAAGAGTCCGGACCCCGGGCCCCTCCCTCCTCGGACCCAAGGGTCCAGGTCCACGCCCCCTCTTCCCTGAGACCCAAGATTCCCGACTCCCAGCTTCCCTCTTCCCTCAAACTAAAGGGCTTCAAGACTCACGTCTCCCCCGAAGTCCGTCTCGGCAGGAGGACCACCATTAAAATACCTGTGAGGGTCGGAAGTGAAAGGTCTGGGTGAGGCAAGAGACAGTGGAAAACTAAAGTCGGAGGGCGGGGTTGGAGTCGCGGAAACAGCACTCACTCGATGGCCGGGAGCAGGTAGTGCTTGCGGAGTCCCTCGAAGTAGGGCCCCAGATTGGCCGTGCCCTCTATCACAAACACCACGTCAGCTACGAGGCCCCCGGCGCGGGCCGGGCCCTCCGACCCGGGTACCATGCCCAGCACCGCCGCCACTGCCGCCGCCGCAGCCACCGCGGGATGAGCGGAAGTGCGCCTGCGCCGCGCACGCACCTGCGCCGGACGGCCTCGCGTCGCTGCTGACGCGCCCGCGGCCATGTTTGTGCGGGGCGCCCAGGGCGGGTCGCTTTATCTCCATTCTCCCTCGCGCCCACTGTGTGTAAAACTCAGAAGGGACATTGCGAACCCCTTTGGGGGCCTGATGCGGAAGAGTGAGTTACTGGCAGGACTGACGAGAGCTGAATATATTGAAAGCGATGGGTCTGCCGCCATTTTTGAGCGGGGCGATTGTTCGATGGCGGTTCCAATGAGAGAGTCAGGAGACTTGGTTGCTATGCAACCCTTACGCTGCCCTTGTTTTCGAATAGAGAGATTAGGTTTCTGGTTAAATTCTTTCGGCTCTTGAGGGGATCGGGGGTGGGTCGTGTGAAGGGTCCAATCACATCGTCCGAAATGGGGTTACTAGGCAACGCTTTAAGGTTGCAATCAACTCTGAAGGGAGTGCAGCTGTTTTTTCCACGAAAAGAAGCCGAACTCCAACCCAAGTGGAGGTTGCTAAGCAACACCTGATAGTTGTTTTCTGGGAGACGGGCCAGAAACTGGCCTGGAACATAAATACGTTCCAGGTGGATTAAAAATGTAAATACAACAAAAGAAACCATAACACTGTATAATCCCAAAGACTGGAAAAAGAATTTTTTATTATTACAGCAAAGCCAGAAAACGCAAAATATTCATATATTTGTCCTCAAAAGACTCCATAAACCAAGTTGAAAACGATACTATAAACTGGTAAAGTCATTGGAACATACATATTGACAGAAATTTAGTATACAAATATCTTTTACTAATCAATAAAAACTTACGAAAATAGAAATACTTTACTTCTTTGAAAGGGAAAGGAAATTAAGCAGGCTTTTCTTACATACAAAAAATATTAAAAATAGAGAACAAACATCTGAAAAGGCGCTCATCTTTATCAATTAAAAAGTGCTAATAGAAAGTCCAATGATAGAGCATTTTACCTTTGTCGTGTTAATTAATGTTGGAAATAGTCCATGAGGATGGGAGGCTTTGGGTGAAATGAACTGGCTCAGACGTGATCTAGTAGGGGTGGAAACCAGGACGACTTGTTCCAATGCGGTGTGTCAATATATTTCAAGGTAAAAGCGTGCATTTCTTTGCACTCAGCAGTATCACCATTTTGTCACATTTATCTTATCAATCCCTTCTTTTTTCTTTGCTGAACAGCTTTTAAAGCAAATCCTAAACATTATATCATTTTACCTCTACGTGCTTGACAGGGATCTCTAAAAAGTTATGGACATATTCCTACATAAACATTATGCCATTAACACTCCTAACAAAATTATTTCTTAATATCATCAAGCACTTCAGTCCGTAATCACATTTTCCCAATTCTTTCAAAATGCCTTTTTAGAATTGTTTTATTTGCATCAGGGTTCAAAGACCAAACACACATTTAGACATCATGTCTCTTAAATTCCTTTTAATCTAAAGCAGCTCCTCCTTTTTTATGCCAGTGTAATTAAATTTTAAATAAAATTAAAAGGAAAACTCAATTGGAGAAAGGAAAAATGATCAACAGTTAAAGAGATTAAAATGGTACCTAAAATTAAAATCTTCCAACACAACGTTGTAAATTGAGTATTCCTCAACTAAAAAAAAAGCCTTCCGTACTAACTATAAGAAAACTTTTCTTCGGATTAGCTGAATGTATGATTGGTTCTATGAACTGATTCTTAATCATTTCCGTTCATGTATTACAAATGGTAAAATAAACAATTAGATTTTTTAACCTGGACTTCAGTTTTCTGACATGCTAGATTAGGTGTTATGACATTATTTTTTGCAACATTGATGGTTTCATTTGAGGTATGGGTAGTCTTTAAGAATCTTCCCTCCCCCTCAAAAAGACAGAGAAACAGAAATTAACAAAAGAAAAAAGAAAAGGGGGGGATGCAGTTTATATAATTGTTGAAAAGAACCACAAAGCAATAGGTAATTGAAATAGAAGATTAAGCCAGCTGAAGAGAGAAACTAATGAACTTGAAAATAAATGAGAAATTAACCAAGATATAATATTAGGAAATGAAAAATAGTGTTTAAAATTTGCAAAGGGAGATGGGGGCTAGAAGGAGAAGGTACAACATCTTTCTAATTGCAGTCCCATAAGAAAAAGGAAGGAGAGGCTCTATTTTAAGAGCTTATGGCTGTATATTTTCTAGAATTGATTTAAAAATAAAAACAAAACAATCTATTAAAAATTCAAAAAGAAACTAAAATATTAAAAATTCAAAAATAAATCATGATTCCTTGGATACTGAAAGCACAATATATAAAATCACAATTAAAAAAAAAGAATTACTCATCTTGACTCAGGGTAAGAACAGACCTCCAGAAGGAATTACATATAAAATGACAGCCCACATCTTCCCAGCGAAAATGGAAACTAGAAGATGGTGGAATATATTAAGGGTTTTGAGAAAAATTAACTTATTACTCCAGAATTGTATGATAATAAAGGAGGTGGAAAGATTCCAGATAAAAACAGAATTTAATCCCAAGAGATTTTTTTTAAAGGATTGTGATATTGTGATATGGAATCAGAAATATATATATCTGGTGTTTGTCCTGGTTCCTGGTATAGAGTTCCTAAAACCCTTGTAATATCCTGAGTGATAAAGGTGGTAGGAGCATCTTCTGTTATAATATTTGATCCTGGACTCCAGTTGGTTACTGACACAAAATCTTCTACGACCCTTGGACTCTCTGGATTGAAAAGAGCATCTTTTGATATGCTGATGAAATGACTGGTGTCTGGGGGCTGCTAGATAGCATTGGAATAGGGGCTGGTCACCAGAAGAACAAGGCATGATTAAAGGGTTGGAATTTTCAGCACCACCCTTGACCTCTGGAGAGTGGAGATGGGTTGGAGTTTGAGTTAATTACATATGGCCAATGATTTGATCAATTGTGTCTTCCTAGTGAAATCTGCATAACCTCTAAAAGACATGGGTTCAGAGGCACTCTGGGTTGTGAATGCATCCATGTGCTTGGAACGTAATTCACCCCAAATTCCATCAGGACAGAAGCTCCTGCACTCAGGACTCTTCCAGACGTTGTCCTAGGTACCTCTTCATCTGGCTGTTCATCTGGCTGTTAATTTTCGCCTTTGCAATAAACCAGCAATAGTAAGTAAAGTGTTTCTCTGGGTTCTGTGAGCCAATACAGCAAATTACTGAACCTAATGAGAGGGTCATGGGAGCCCCCGATTTGGAGCCAACTCAGACAGAAGTATGGGTAACCTGGGAATTCCCTGCTTGCAAATGGTGTCTGCAGTGGTGACAGTCTTGCAGAATTGAGACCTTAGCCCGGTGGCAGGGGGCAACACCTGTAGTAACTCCAAGTGCTTAGTGTCAGAATTTAATTGGCTTGTAAGGCGCCCTGTTGGTGTCCACAGAAAACTGGAGAATTGCTTGATGTGGAAAATCCACGAATTTGGTGTCAGAAGTATTGTAAGTAGAGAAAGAATTTTCCAGTAGGAAGCACTTCAGGAAGTAGGGAAATTTTAAATTATCCTGGAAAGATGATCTGAGACACAAGAAGGAAGCAGGAGGGTAAAATGAATCATAAGTACATATGTAATTACAAATAAGCACTGCCTGTATAAAATAAGAAAAAAATATTCAATGGTAAAAAAAGTCAAGCTAAAATGTTAACGCTAGTTGGTTAGTGTAGAGGGAGTTTAACAGAGTTAAACAATTACAGGCTCCTTGTATTATTTGAGAGAGGGTTTAAGATCTTTAATTTTTTGCTAAATTAAGTGTGTAGGCTAAAATTTCAAGGATAACCAATAAAAATAAAAGAGAATTAGTGTTTAACTTGAAACCAGAAAAAAGAGGAAAAAATAGATTCAGATAACAAAAATTAATCAATTCAGAAAAAAATAAGGAGGAAAAAAGTTAAAAAGGCAAAACAAAAAATATAAAATAGAATGGTAGAAACAAATCTAAATATAGCACTAATCATAATAGATATAAGTGGACTAAAGAAGAAAATCATAGAAGTACAGGGAGAATTTTATAATTTACTTCATGTGTTATTTTATGCAACTGTTTATTCCTCTAGTTTAATGTAATTTAACATGCAGGGTAAATGTCTCAATGTTTTTTTATCAGCTATTAGAAATCAGATCTAGAATATAGGCAAAATATGTTTAAAAGACAAAATTTTAAGAATATTACTATATATTTTGTAAATATATTTGGATAAATGAAGGTTTTTAAAAAATATTACTGTATATTTTGTAAATATGTTTGGACAAATGTTCTCACAAAAGAGAAAACATCTAGCTGGTTAAATTGATGAAGATTTATTAAATCAATGAAGATTTACTTTATCACTTGAAACACGCAGAGGTAAGAGCTTAATGTATGTCAGTATAGGATCGGCTAAATCTATTTTGTTACATCCATAATATAGGTTATAATAAGACATTAAAAAAACCTAAGTACATTCATATGGCTTGATGAGAAAAAGAAAGTTTGAAAACATTAGCACAGTAATCATACTTGTGACAACAGTAAATATTCTGTATTAATCTCAACTTTTTGTTTTAGGGGATTTGGGCGGAGTATTTTCCCATTCTGCACGATACACTACCATTTATAAAATCATGACAGTATCATTTTTATGATTCTGGAAAATAAAGGATTTCATCTTTCTTTTTCTCGTAACAAAAACAACCATCTCATTTAGTGGTTACTAGGCAACGCTCTCCGGACCAAACCATCCTCGAGGGTGAGGGGGGAGAGGTGTCTTCTCGATTTTGCTCTAAGGAAGGTTGCTAGGGTTTTGCCCTGCGGCCATCTTTGAGTGGGGCACTACTGTTTACAGCCTTAGAAGGAAAAAAGAGACCGAAAGTGGTTGCTAGGCAACGCCTTGGTACCGTCGCCATCTTTGGGACACAGCTGTTTATCAATTTAGAATGTGAAACATAGTAGTCTATGTGATGGTTATTAGGCAATGCCTTGGCGCAGTCACTGCCTTCAAGCTGGGCTCTTCATTCTCGTAGTTAAATAAACAGAGCCAAACTGTTTCAAGGGGCGGCTGGGAAGCTCTGCAAATGCAACTAGCCGCCATCTTTGTTAGGGGTATTGTAACTTCCGGCTGGGGCGGAAGAGAACCTAACAGCGTTTAGGGGAGGTGCTGGAAAAGGGGTTGGGGGTAGTTTGAGTCGGATGAGGAAGGCGGGAATCTAATCCTCTTCCAATCAGCTCCCCATCCCGCCCTTTGGCGGCTTCATACCGCAGCCTGACTTAGTATGACTGCAGGCATGCTCCAAGGCGGACACTGACTGTCTCCACGAGGGGACTGGGAGGCGGGGGTTCCAAATGGGGGAGGAGGGAACCGAAGGCACCGTGCACCTGCTGTGCCTCGCAGCATCGAGCGGGGTCCCCCTGTTTTGCAGGAGCAGCCGCGGCGGCGCCCCCGCCCGCCAACAGGTGGGGCCCTGGGCGCCTGGATCTCAGAAATAGAAGGGCTTTAGACGTTGGGATTCTGGGTCTTCAAGGGAGTAGGTTTAGAGGGTCGAGGGTACAACTGACCAGTGATCCTGGTTCCCCGAAGAGGTGGGAGTTGGTGGCCTGAGTAATTGGTTCTCAAGGAGGAGGGGAATGGCGGCTCCTGTCTAATACCCCCAATCTTTCCCCAGCTCCCGTTCTCTGTCATCGGCTCCCTCAATGGAGTCCACATGTTTGGGCAGAATCTCGAGGTGCAGCTGAGCTCTGCGAGGACGGAGGATACAATCGTGGTGTGGAAAAGCTTCCATGACAGGTCTCCAAGTGGTAGTTTGGGGGCAGGGCCAAGGCCAGGGTGATAGCCCCTGTTGAGGATTGACTCCAACACCAGCTGTTTACTTGGCTGTGGGATCTTTCACAAGTCAGTTGCCCTCCCTGACCCCTGAGATTCTCTGTATGAAAAGCAGGTTGTGCTGGGCCATGATGTAGCAAGCTGGCATCCAGGATTAAGGGCAGACTCTGCTATCCTCCCTGCCTTGTTTCATTGGCCTGGACTCATTTTTCCTTCTCACCTTCCTTTCTCATAGCATCACCCTTATTGTTCTGTCATCTGAGGAGGGGACCTCGGAGCTGAGGCTGGAGAGACTACTCCAGATGGTGTTTGGGGCTATGGTGAGATTCCCCAGCTCTCTTTCCCAAACCCAGGAATCTGAGCTCTCAGCATCCCTCTTCCCTCAGTCTGGACCCCCAAACACCCTTCTCAAGAACGCAGGAATCCTGGCCCTCAGTCCCTCCTACCTCAGACTAATGAGTCCAGATCCCCAGTTTCCTCCTCCCTCAGACACAAGAGTCCGAGTACCAGCCCCTCCTCTCTCATAACCAGTTGCCCAGGGCCCCTCTCTCCTATATGGTTCTTCTAGGTTCTTCTTGTGGGACTTGAAGAACTGACCAATATCCGCAACGTAGAGAGACTGAAGAAGGAGCTGAGGGTGAGGCTGCAGGGCGTGAGGATGAGAAGTTAGGATAACTTGGTCTCTTATATTCAGGAACTACAGTTCCCAGAAGCCCCAGGGCAGCCTGGTCCAGGGGGCTCATGGGGCAGCTTGGTTGTCTGACACCCCCTAGCTGGGGCCAGTTTTCTCAGGGGGAGGCAGCAGGTCCAGGTGTCACCTGGGTCATAAGCTCCTCCATTTTCCCTCTTCTAGGCCAGTTACCGCCTCATTGACAGCTTCCTGGGGGACTCAGAGCTTATTGGGGACCTGACCCAGTGTGTGGACTGTGTGGTTCCTCCAGAGGGGTCCCTGCTGCAGGTATTGGGAATGCTTTGTAAACTCTTGAAACCATCCCTGTGACCCTGGCTCAGTCCTCATCCTCTTTCCCCTGGACCATTGCCTTAAACATTTCCCATCGTTTTGGCTTCCAGTCCCATCCCCTGTTGGCCCCAGAAAGATCTTTCTGCACCCAGAGCTGACCGTGCCCCTCCCCTGGTCACAGCTCTCCCATGAATGCCATCATCCCCAGGACAAGGTCCCAGCCCCTCAGCCTGGTGTTTGAGGACTCGAGGAACCTGCTGGCCCTAACCTCTACTGACCTCACAGCCCCCCTTTCCCATCTACCTCATGAGTCTCACAAATACCAACAACTTCCCAGCTTCCCTGCCCTGGTACCTGCTATTCCTTCTGCCTGGTGAATCTCTACCTACCCTTCCTTAAATACTGCTCTGGGTTCAACTGGCATGGCTGCCTCCCAGCGGTGTGACTCTCGCAGGTGACTTGACCTCTCTAAGCTTCAGTAGGTTGTAGGTTGCGCCTACCTGGCACATAATAGAACTCGATAAACCGTAGCTGCTGCTGTTATAATTATTAGCTTTAGTAGCACGTGTCAGGCACCTTACCTGTTTGATTTCACAATGTGACCTGGGGATTGTACCCGCATGTGAAGGTGAAGGAACTCAGGCCCAGGGAGGGTGAGACGCATTAGCATGGCCACCAAGCAAGCTTTGAATGGTATGCCGGTCTCTTCCCACTCCTTACCCACCTGAAGTCACTCGCCCTTGCTCATGTCTCCTGACGCGCAGTCGGCCTGCTTCCCTTACCCAGGAAGCCCTCTCTGGGTTCGCCGAAGCCGCGGGCACCGCCTTCGTCAGCCTGGTCGTGTCGGGCCGGGTGGTGACAGCAACTGAGAGCTGGTGGCGGCTGGGGATGCCGGAGGCAGTGCTGATCCCCTGGCTGGTGGGGTCTCTGCCGCCGCAGGCCGCTCGCGACTACCCGGTGTACCTGCCGCACGGGAGCCCCACGGTGAGTGAGTGGGTGGGGCCGGCAGTGGGAAGGTGCGGCTCGGGAGGAGCGCGCAGGAAGAGGTGGGACCCAGAGGCTGTCTCTCAGGGAGGCGGGGCTTGCGATGGAAGAGGCGGCTCTCCGGCCAATCAACATCGCGCCCTGCTTCAGGTTCCTCACCGGCTTCTGACTCTGACACTCCTGCCGGACTTAGAGCTATGTCTTCTCTGTGGGCCGCGCCCTCCCCTCAGCCAGCTGGATGCACAGGTGAATCCGGCACATGTCCTGCTTTTCCCCTATTACACCCTCTACCGGCGAGCCCCGGCCCTTGTCTCAGCACCCTGCCCTGCGAGCGCTCTTGACTCTGGACCCGCCCTTGGTCCCGCCCCCGTCCCTCTCGTAGGCCCCGCCCCCTTGGACTGCTCTTCAATCCTCGTCGCCCCAGCTCGGCCCCTCTTCTTACCGCATCCCTCCAGGCCTAGCCCCTTCCACGGTCCCCTGTGTCCTCCGCCCTTGTGGTCCCCTCCCCTCCTCCCTGGCCCAGCCTCCTTCCCCAGGTATCCCTCTGACCTCGCCCGCCGGCCCCGCCTCTCTTGCTGACCACGTCCCCTGCAGCTTTTGGACCGCTGGTGGCAGCCACTGCTGGACCTGCTGCGGACCTGCCTGCCGCTGGGACCCCGAGCGCTGCCCGCGGGCTTCCCCCTGCACACGGATATCCTCGGGTAGGGCTCTGGGGGGAGAGTGGGTTGGGGGTCCTCATGCCCTCTTCCCTGGCCGTGACACCCCTTTCCCACAGACTGCTGCTCCTCCACCTGGAACTGAAACGTTGCCTCTTCACCGTGGAGCCTTCGAGGGATAAAGGTGACAGAGAGGAGGGCGTGGCCGGGAGGGGCGTGGGATGGGGAGGGGTTCTCTGTGACCCTGTTCTCTTCCTCCTTCAGAACCCTCTCCTGAGCATCGTCGGCGTCTCCTTCGCTCCTTTTATACCCTGGTCACTGCCACGCACTTCCCACCAGGTCAGCGGCGGGCACAGTGCCCCCTTTGCATAGGCTGGGACACAGAATCCCAGCTCACACAAGGTGTGAGTAAAAAGTGGGCTTGGGGAAACTGGTAGAAGACTCCAAACCAGAATCATGAAATGGGCATGGCTGTCCGTGAGGATGGCATGGAAACTGACAGGAAAGGCAGGTAAGGGAGTTCCAAGCCTGTAGGTTTCAGAATCTCCTGGGTAATCCTAATAGTTAATGGAGACCTCATCTCTTACCAAGTGCTTTTCTGTTTGTTTACTCACTTCATCGTCATAGGCAAGGGTTACCTCCTGTTACATTATCATGCCTATATTACAAACAAGGAAACAGGCTCAGCAAATACATAGCAGAGCCACAATTCAAACACAGGCCGCCTGGCAACCACATCCACACCCTCCAGCTCTACTGCTGAAAATACTGGCTTTGCCCATAGTTGGGTGGAGGAGGGGTGGTAGATTCCATAGACCCCAGGTCTGAAGAAAAAGTTGTCATATAGAACCTGTGAGGCCCAAAGCGACAAGGGAAGGGATCTAGATTGATGCTACAATCTCAGCAAAGATCATGATGAATGTAACAAAATGGTAAAAAAGGTCCACCAGGGAGGGGCAGACAACTGTCCCTTCCTAGCTGGGTAACTCCACCTCCCCCCACCTGCTTCCCACAAATAAGTGGGGCAGGGTCCTCAAAAGGAGCTCTTCCCTGGAGCCCAGTGCCTGGCACCAGGTAAGCATCTCCTATCTGTTTGTGATCTGTATTGCCTGGGGCTACACACAGTATCCCCAGGAAAGAGAGAACGGAGGCAAGGTGGGAAGCAGGGGAGAGTCTGTGACCTTCTCAGGTCCTGACAGCTGCCTGGAGCTGTGAGCCTCTCCCCTGTCAGGAGTCAAACTTAGGCCCAGGATGGGGTGCAGGGGTGGTTCCTGCAGGTTGGCATCCTAGTTATCCAGGCCCCACTGGTTACCTCGGTCCCTCCTGTCATCCTTTCAGAGCCTGGGCAGCCAGAGAAGGTGGAGGCGGCGGCCCACCGGGCCCAGGTGCCAAGAGCCTGCTACCTGGTGTCAGGGGCTGAGGAGCAGGGCACAGGATGGCGGCTGGTGGCCCTGCAGTTGGGGCCACGGCGGCTGCTGCTGCTGCTGTCTGCTCAGAGTCCCACATATGGGCTGAGGGGCCTGGCCACCCACACTCTGCATGCCCTCACCCCGCTCCTCTGACCGCTGGTTGTGAGTGCCAGACACAGACATGGACGTGGGGCTGTTAGCGTCTCTCTGTTTATTCGCTCACAATAATACACGGCCCCTGGATGGGGAGGGGGCAGGAGGGGCTACAACAGGGTGGGGTGGGAGGGGAGGAGGTGCCCACTTCCCTGGCCCCTCTCCCCTCTGTGCTTCGGGGGGAAAGGGAGGGAGGGGGCTCACCCTCACCCCCCAAGAATGTAAACAGCAGCAGATGAACAAAAATAAAAATACAAAAGGCCGGAGGAAGGTCCTAGGCATCCCTCCACCCTGGGGTCTTCCCTGTCACCAGCGGAGGTCCCCTCACTGCCCCATCCACCAAAGCTGCCTCAGTCCTGGGGCTGCCCAGTGCCGGCCACATCCCCGGGGGCAGAGTCCAGGGCTCAGAACTGCTGGGCCAGCAGCTCACATAGGTGACGGGAGACGGGCTCCTTGCTGGTGCGCAGGGTCAGCCGGTACATCTAGGGGAGACGGGGACTCAGGGAGGAGGCAGAGGCATGGGGCAGGCCATGTGGAAGAGGATGGGGATCCCGGGGGGAAGGGGATACAGGGCAGATAATGATGAGAGAATAAGGATCAAGTGGTCAGAAAGGTGACATAAGGAACAAGGGCGACAGAGGAGGTAAAGAATGAAAAGTAAAAGAGAGGCCAAAGTAAAAAGGGTATGAGAAATGAAAATCAGGGAGGAAAAGGGAGAGGAAGACCAGAAGATACAGACAGGAGGGAGACAGGAGAGGAAGAAAACAGGGACAGAGCAGAAGGACGTGGTTAAAAACTGAGGCAGGAGGGGCCAGGTGCAGAGAACGCACACAAAGCAGGGGGCCTCCCAAACCACCACTCACCTGAGCCTGGGCGTTGGGCTCCAGCCGGAGCAGACAGCCCACCTGCAGGGCTTTAGTCTGGATGATTCCAGCCCCAACGAAGTTCTCAGGGTTGGGGTCCACATTGTCCAGAAGAGCAGAGCCAAACCCCAGGAGCTGGGGAGGAAGTGGAAAGTGCTGTCAGAGGGTGCCCCATCTCTGTTAGCTCCCAGATGGTGGCATACTGGTTCCCCCGAACCCTTGAGAGTAGGAACTGGCCCCATTTTACAGATAAGAAAACAGGCTCAGAGAATCTGAGCAGCCACCGCTCCCCAAATCCCAGAGTTAGGGAGAGGCAGGGCTGGGATGTTAGCCCCCGCGGTGCCTCTCCTGTCTTGTCTCACCTTGGCCTTAGTGACCTCTGCATCCATGGGGTGGTTGGCTTTGAAGATTTTCTGCGCCTCCTGTTGGGGGCTGGGAGCCGGGAAAGATTCAAGTCAGGGACCTGGAAGCCCCAGTTCCACCCACCCTGAGGGCGGCTTTGGCTCTACCCCCCCAACCCCCACCGCGGCTCACAGGCTCAGCTGCTTCCAACGCTGGAAGAAGTCCTGGGCTGCCATCTCCGTTGGTTGGAAGAACTTGTTGATGGTCACAGGGAGCTTCAGGGTGAGAGACTGGGGGGCGCCCCCGTACCTGGCGGGAGAGGAGGGAGGGCTGGCTCAGACCACGCCCCTGCCCCGGAAGCCCCGCCCACCAGGCCGCGCCCCTCACCTTTCTCACCTGAAGCGCACTGACAGGAGCGGGGGCGTCAGGAAGTCCCGCAGACACTCGATGTTGAGCACCTGCTGCACCTGCGCCCCACCGTCCACCTGCGAGGCCACCCGCTTGGTCTGCACAGCCAGCTGTGCCCGCTCATGGTCAAGGAAGCCAGATACAGGAGCGGCCTGGGGGTTGGGGCCTTCAGCATCATCACTTGATGGTTCAGGACTTTCCTGAAGCCCCAGCCTGCAGGCCTCCGAGGGGCCCGGCCCTGCTCTCCCAGGCACAACCTACAAGGCCCAGGTCTTAAGTCCTTCCTAAGCCAAATCGCTGATTCACCCCCTGGGTGCCTTCTCTGGCCGCCCATGATGGCCTCGACCACCTCCATTATGACACACGTCACCATACACACCATACACGTCACCCTCCGTGGCTCTGAAGGCTGACCTGCGTTTGAATCCTGGTTCTTACTACCTTGGTGACTGCAGGCAAGTCACTTGATTTCTCTTAGTCTCATCTGCAAAATGGACATCGTGTCCTCAGCATTCAGTGAAATAATCCAGAACAAGTACTGGTCAGTGTGTTGACACAAAAATGGTGGCGGTGCTGTCAGCCATCACCATGTACCTTTGTGTCAACCATCCATTGGCAAGAAAGGATGGGGACTTCCATATGCATCTCTCCCCTGCCCCTGCCCAACACAGAGCTGAGGCCTCTGGAAATGTTGATGAATGAAGCAAAGAACTGAAAAGGTCCTCAAAGTTTTGGGGACTAGCCACTAATTTCCCAGTTGCAGAAACTGAGGCCCAGATTAGGGGGACGGGGGACTGACACTGCTCAAGCACTTCCTTTATGCCAGCCACACCTCCAAGGTCTCCCAAACACACTGATCTTTAAAACAACTCTGTGAGAAGGAAGAGGAGGACCGATGCTTCACAGAAGGGATAGCAAGGTTCAGAGAGGCCAAGTGACTAGCCCAGGTCACAAAGCAGAAGGCCCTGGTCAGCATCAAGAGCCCCAGGCCTGGCACTTGAGGGCAGGAGGCACTGCTGCAGTCATGGGTGTGGAGTCCGCGGTTGGGACATGAAAGAGGCCTGACACATGAGCTGAGGCCCAGAGCAGCTGGGATTCCAGAAGTAACACCTACATCCTTATCACATCACTGTCATCTCCTGTCCCGGGGAAGAGGCTCACCCCATCTTACGGATGACACTAAATCTCAGAGAAGTACCACGTGCTCAGGCTCTGAAGTAAGAAAGCCGAATGGGGGTCTGGACCTGGGTTCATCTGTTTCCCAGCTGCCGGGAAAGCAGACCTGGAGGGGCCGGGCTGGAGCCAAGGGGCTGGACCACGTTGAGAGGATATGAGTCTGGAGGTCTCCAGGGTGGACAACCGTGGGCGAGAAGTTCTGGAACTGCACCGAAGTCTTGTTGCCATAGAAGAGATACATGCGGCCTGCAGAGGGTTGGGAAGAGGCAGGGCTCCATCTGAGTTCCTTCCATCCCCTTCTCAAGCCAAGGTCTCTCCAAAACCCACCCCCACCAATTCACCCACTGGACGCACCCAAGTTCTGCCGGAACTCTGACTTGACACCAATTTGCAACAGCTGGTTCTCAAATAGGACCCCGTTGTTCCGGCACACGAACCTGGGTGGGGGTGATGAGGGCTCAGGACAGGTACTCCTCCTGGGCCCTGCTCTGTGCTCTCCATTTGTCCCCAGTGCCCTCCCCAACCTCACCCACCACTCACTTATTGAGCAGTTCATCGGCTTCTGGGATGGGCGGGCCAATGTCCTCAGGACCTGGGCTGAGGGCAGGAAAGAAGGGAGATGGGAGGGTGGTTGGGGCCTAGAGATAAAGGCCCAGAGCTAATAGTGGGAGATAGCAAGCCCTGAAATGACAGAACCCCAGAATCCTTATACCCACATTCCCCAAAGAATCCCAGGGTCAGCCTGGCAATTGCCTCTGATGGGAACAGGTCCCTGGCAGGTGCTGTCACCCCTGCACCCCCTGTATCAGAGGGCACTGACTTTTACTCCCCTCTAAGTCCTTGCCTCTGCAGTTCATCAGGAACCCCTTGACAACAGCTCCCAGTCCCCTAGCCCTCCCTGGGGACACGAGTCTGCCCCCCAACCCCCTGAGGCCACCCCTTACTCAGCAGCTGGAGCTGGGTCAGCCAGCAAAGCCATGGGGCTCTCAGGGGCAGGCGGCTCCAGCTCGCTGGGCCATCCAATCCCAGAGCAGACAAGAGAAGACAGGCGTGGCAGGCAGCCAATCCCAGAGAGGCAGCAAGAGGGCAGAAGAAGGAGAGAGAGGGAGGAGGGAAGGAGAGAAGGAAGAGCAGGCTGAGACGTGGTGATGGGAAAGGACAACAGGGGGGCCAGGGTGAGCCAAGAGTCCAGAGTGGTCCAGAGGAAGGGAGGAGGCTGAGGGAGGCGGCAGCCAGGGTGGACAGAGGCTCAGGGACAGGGAGAGGGCAGATGGAAAGGGGACAGCCCTGGGCCCAAGGTGGGCGGTACCTGAGGAAGGCCTCCTCGGGGGTGGGCCCCAGGCTGGGCTGGGCGGCCGGGCCATCAGAGAAGACGTCCACCAGGAGGTTGCCTGCACCCAAAGGAGCCGGGGGTGCCGCTGGCGGAGGGGCTGCCCGCAGCCCCAGGAGGTCGGCAGAGGGAGAGGGCGTCGACTGCAGGGAATGCAGGGGCAGGTAAGGAGAGAGGACGGCCTGGCCACAGGGCCTGCCCCTGCGGACCGGCCTCTCGGGACTCACCACGGTGCTGGGGGTGGGCTCCACGCCCCCGTTGATGTCATGGCTGCTGGGGTCCCTCCGGCCATCATCCAGAGCACTGCCAGCCCCGGGCCCCTTCTTGCGTTTCAGCTTGGCCAGGATGGATGACTCACGCTCCGGGAAGGGTGGCATCTCCTCCAGGACCGTGGCCTACGGGGGGTCGGGAGCAGGAGCAGGTCAGGGACAGGCATCAGCTCTGGACTTGGGGAGGAGGGGCGCATGGGGACCAGGACTCTGACCAGGACATCCGTGCTGGCCACCGAGCTGAGGGTGAGGTACTCGACGGCGCGCTGCTGCAGCTCCACGTCAGCATTGCGCAGCTGGGAGCCGGCCCGCAGCACGCCCTGGATGGTGGCCTTGGTCTCCGGGAAGAGGTTGATGAACTTGATGTAGGTGGACAGCAGCAGGGCCCGTGTGGCCACACTGCACAGGTGGAACTTGGAGTGCAGCAGAGAAAACTGCACTGGGGGGCTGTCCAGGGGGCACAGCGTCAGCGGGCAGCCGGCTCCACCGCCCTCTCCTGGAAATCCCCATGAGAGGTCCCGCCTCCCTCGGTGGGACCCTTCCCCAGACCCCAGGTGGCCCCAGGACCCAGACCCCTCAGGAGTGTGTGTGTTCACCCCGTCACCTGGAGCGGGGGTCGCCAGCAATCAGATTCCCAAACTCCCCAAGGATGTAGCCGCCAACCTTCACCATGTTCTCATGGCAGGCGGGGGCCTGGAGCGCCTGGGAGGCAGGAACGGGGCGGTTGAGGACAGAGGTGAGTGGTGCAATCTGGGCTCAGGAATGCTCCATGTGCGCCAGGCGCCGTGCTAAGCCCCTGACTCCTATTAACTGTGGAACCCTCGTGACTCCATGATGTGGGTGGGTTTGGAGATGGGGAAAATGAGGCACAGAGTGGTTGAGGGACTGGCCTGAGTGCACAAAGGGAGTAAAATGGGGCAGAAT